ATTAATCCAAGCCGTACTAGTCGGAAGAAGGTGCGCGTAAATGTTTGCATCTGTATTTTAGCTGTGGCAATGGAAATGAAGTGAAAATATGCAAGGCAGTGGGAGTAATGTGGAACTAGAATACAAAGAGTGAATTAGAAAGTGCTGGTGGGCATCCATACATTAAACACTGAGTTTTCACCACCACACTGCATAAAAGGCCAAATTTTCAACCACATTTAGACTTTTCGCGGCCCTTTTCGTGACCGGTTTATTATCCTGGGCTCAGACTGACAGGTAGAGCCCGGTGTTATGTCCTCCCCGTCAAGGCATCTATTTTACTTGACGTTCTTTCAGCTTTCAGCTTACTTCATTGGTGCTTGGAATTAAGTCTCTGAAAAACTTAAAGGCAAAGTTCGGGCTCAGACCCACCTAAGAAGCCCTTACCATGGCTAGAAGTGCTGGGCACCCAAGTGCAAAGTTAGCGCCACCTTTCTACATCGAAACCCGTCACCAGGACCCTAGGCGCCATGAACTTCTAACAGACTCCACCAAACTTAACATGGTCCGCCCACCGTTCGATATCTTGTCTGCGTCGCCACGTTGATGTGCTATGCTCTCTCTTCTCGGACTTCTCTACCACTCTCGCGCTCACATTTTCATTTTTCTCACCGCCCCTGCCTGTCTTTTGATTTTCTCCACAGCACGGAGCAAAATGCTCGTATTTCCTATGTATTCATTTCAGACATCCCCTTTCCTTTTCCCCTCCACTGGCGGTCCACCTCCCACCCCTACTTTCACATTTAAGTGGAATCAGCACATCAATTTAACCCTGATTCTTGCCTTTGAGGACACTACAGTACCGTGCAGTGAAGTATTCGTTTTCACTTTTTTAAACGTAATTTCCTCAAAACTCAAGCTTTCGCAGTAAAACTTCGACAGCAGTTGACACACACAGGTAGTCATATTATAGCAGCGTATCGGTGCGATAGCCTCCTTTCAAGGGGAAATGGAGCTTCATTTTCGAGTATTGTCCGCGGGCACCCAATTTCATTGTTGATAAACGATGAGTTTCCATGTTGAGAGCACGTGTGTTTTTGATGTTTTGTGTCAGTTTCATATGCCTACACAGTACTCAGAACATTCCAAGACATTAGGGAATTCATAGCTTGTGGCAGGACCAGGTGACGCCATCTTTCGGAGGTTCTACGAAGGCTTAACATCCCAGCAGATTTTTGAAGTTCAAGGAGCCCCAGTGGACGACTTGGAAGAAATTCAATTGAACCTGCCAAAGTCAAAAAGCGCCCAGAAGTAGCAAAAATGACCTCTTCTCTCGCCAATAGAATCATTGTGCGACTTGTAAGGAGTGGCTCGCATCACGCTGCACCCGAAATTCACCGCGGATTCTCAACGCCAGACGGTCTAAATCCGTCCGAAGACAACGTGCGACGTTGTCTGAGAGATGCTGGGCACTTCTGACGTAGCTCAGTAAGAAACCGCTGATTCCCCCTCAAGAGTGGCAGAGCGCATCTCAATTAGGCTCATGCCCACAAGAAACGGACTATTAAGGAGTGACAAAAAGCCATCTAGAGCAACGAATCGAAGTTTTTGTTTAGCACGAAAGAAGTCAAGTTTTTGCGACTTCCCGTTGGTACCAGATATCATCCGAGGTTCCATGTGCTGACGTGACGAATGCAGGGGGTGCGGTGATACTGCATGGCAGCTTCTGTGGCATAGGGGTTGATCACCTTCATCGGACCGAGGCTGAAATGGATTCCAAAACGCGCGCCTCAACATATGGATGACTGCTATCTGGCCGCATGCTCGCAGTGTCGCCCGTAGTGTTTCATTTTCCGACCCCAAGCGCAAAATCAAAGCCGCTCTCGCAATGGTTCCGCAACAACAATGTTCCTCCACTGCCATGCCATCGCAGTCCCCATACTTGAATCAGAGCAAAAATCTGTAGGATGATTTTCGGAGTCAAGCTGAAGGCCCAAAAGCTCACAACGAGTTCGAAAAGTCCGTCCCACTGAAGATCGCGTAGGGGAACCTCTACCAAGAAAAAACCCAATTCCGTGCTTCGCCGGTGTCAAGCCGTCGTAGATGAAAACGGTTCTGCGACAAAGTGCTGATGTTGTAGTTGTTACGTCTGTTATTATATAAGTCATTTTGTTATTATTTTTGAATTTTAGATAGATTGAATTTCGAACAAGTAATATGGTATTGGACCGAAAAAAATTAAAAATTTCTAAATTAGTATAGAAGCCACCTAGACAACTGAAGATTTGCTTCCTTATCAGGTAGAGTGATGTGTTCTCACCTACAAAAAATCGGAACAAAAGCTTGAGTTTTGAGGGAGTTACGTTTAAAAAAGTGAAAACGAATACTTCACTGCACGGTACTGTATGTATTGCCCATTTCCGAAACGTGGCGCCTAGATGACCAGCCCTTTACAGGCCCTCTCGCAGAAAGCTCCCTTGTCTCCGATTGTTAACATGGCAATTCTTTGACCTCTGTTTTCGAGCCTTAATCTTTTGCATTCCACCTTTCTTGTTCCACAGATGTAACCCTGCCCACACTCAGTCTTGGTTATTGGGAATCGTCGTCGCATTATCTTTCAGTCGGTTCCAATTAAGAGTCTATCAACACAGGAATTTTTGAAACTTCTCAATCGGACATAGATGAGAGCACGTAAGGTATCTTATATAGAATGCCGACTTCAATTAGGGTTACCAAAACTTCTATTTGGGCTTTCAAGAAATTTCTTTTCAAGTTGGCAAGAGATTCGTGAGGCGAAGAAACGATATCGGGATCAGAGTTTTTGACGCAGTCATGGGGGCCTTATTCTGCAGGCACTAGCTTGTGGTTCGCTTCATCGTTATGGGCTCAACTTTTGCGCTTTGTGCTTTATATCCAACACAGGGCGTCATCATCGAGGAGAACAAAAAGTGTCATAACAGGTGTCATTTTAGGAAAAAACGCCCGTGACTCAAACCTGCTGGCCGAAAACGACTAACCAAGTCGACCGTTGGCATTAGACTGATTCGTTCTCCCCACAGCTCTGAGCGAAAATGCCAACTTTTGCCCTAACCTTTGGAATCACATCATCTATCTTAGTGATGCACAAGTGCCGTTTGAAAGACTTGATATGCAGTCCTTCATTTCTCACAGAAGACAAAGTTCTGCCTGGAGCCAGCACTTGTAGACAGCCAACATAATGGATTAGAGCACAGAAAAAAACAAAGTCACAGGTTCGTGGGGTCAGTTTGGAAGACCTCAGACTGATGCTGGAAAGGAACGTTCGTCCATGCTCATATCATCACCAACGAGGAAAACCACGGAAACAGACATCAGCTCGGCCGAAATTATAGCTTTTATGAGTCCTTCTACGGTGTCCATGGCAGTTGCCAATCCACCGCCAACCGCTCTCTTTTCAGAACTACAGAACCTCGATTTCTAGGCTTATCGGGTAGGAAGGTGTTTTGGTCACATTCGCTGTTTGGAGCAGAGGCCATCTGGCGCCGGTTTGACTTCACAGTTTTTTGTACGAAAATACCAAACCCTACGTAAAGGTGCTGATTAGGAACAGAAACGATCCGGAAATGACACATGCCTTGATACCTTTCTTTTATAATAAAACCCTCTTCTGGGGCTCAAGCACACCTCATACCCATTCTTTTGCCAACTCAAAAGGTATCCAGCTCTCTCAGAAAATTCACTCAGTAGTCCTGGTGTCCATACTCGTAATGAACTTTTTATACCAACGATATGACTCGGTGGCCTTCCAGAGTCCCAAGAAGTTTGAAGCTCTTCCTGTTACATATGCAGTAGCCTCAAACATCATAGAAAGTAGCAAATACGTTGAAAACGTAGTGAACTGTGCATCACCTAACAAGGAAAGGCTCCCAGGTCGCCATGGCCATTCAAGAAGAGATGTATACCACTAGATGTGCCTTTGAACGCTGATCTCAAATCTACCTTCCAAATCTGCTAAACGATTTCTGAATGGAGTTATGAAGCAAAACAGCGCAACGGCAGTGGTCGGGATTTGCAGTCAAAACGTCGTAGGATCGGCCCCTGATCGCGTCTACTGTTTGCCTTCTTCAGGAGTGCTTTTAATAGCCTATTTAGCCTAATTCCTGAAAAACACATAACAGTGGAGTAAAAGTAAACGTCGTGGAATCGGCCCCTGATCGCATTTGCTGTCTTGCGTTTTTCAGAAATTAGGCTAAATAGGCTATTAAAGGCCTTTTAGATCTACTCCTGAAGAAGGTAAAACTTCATTCAGAGAATCGTTAGCAGATTTGGAAGGTAGATTTGAGATCAGCGTTCAAAGGCACATCTAGTGGTATACATCTCTTCTTGAATGGCCATGGCGACCTGAGAGCCTTTCCTTGTAAGTTCAGGTGTTGGTCAAGGCAGCTATCGCGTGAGGAATGGGGTTGCTGGTTACAATACCACTAGAAATTATCCGCAACTACTTCTATTGCCTCCTTTCTTCCTACCCAAGAAGAAAAGCCATTTACTCTTACATGAGAAGGTCCTTCAAAAACCAAAACAAATGAAACGAGTTTGTCTGAATGTCAAACTTTCTAATTCGCGCAGTGAAAATAATGGAACAAGAAGAAACCTAATTGATTTCGACGCTCAGTAGGTAGGCGCTTACAATTAGCAATGGGAACTCGAGCATTGACGCACGTGGACCTTCCAAGTGACACCCATTGCGTTCCATCGAGCCTTGGCCTCTTGATACTAAACCTAGATCGTTCCCGAAATGGTGGTCCTTCACCCTTCGACACGTTTCCTTTGACAATCGCACATTTGCTGAGTTCATTCTTCCGAACACGTGAAACGTCACAATGAAAGCTCTTTATTTGATATTGTGAAAAGCCGTGACTGTTTCTGTTCTGCAGAAGCACGTTAGCCAAATTCCCTTCATTTCGCTCCTTTCGCATTTTTATTCAAGTCGTAAACTCGATACGCAAAAAATATCACAGCTAAAACTTCATCCATTTTGCAGAATGAACAAGGTCCTGCTGCTTCTACTCGTACTGATCTCCTTACCTGTCGCAATCCAGCACATGGGAAGAAGGCGTATGGGAGATTATGAAAAACTTTCCCTAGTGCTTCGTATCCGGGCAGGGAACAAGGTTGAAATTTGATCACATTTTCAAGCACAGAGGAAATCAGATCACTGCTGGGATGTTGTAATGTAGCCTGAAGAATGGATAGTAATTTCCGAATTAAGGGTTCTCCTGCAGAAAGGCAAAATCGTGAGAAGCAGATTTGGGATATGGCGAAGAAGCAATCCAGTGCACGTTTATCCTCAATAATCGCCACAAAGAATCGCTTCGAATACATTGTTGAAAACAAGAAACTCAGCCATGCTCAACGCAATGTGCAGATGTACGCTTTGAGAAGGCAAAATCGCAGTGTGATGTGGAGTCAAATGCTTGCAGAAGCAAACACCGCCAGAATCGATTATGAGTGGGATAAAAGCGGAATGATATGAAGTTTGATGATGAGAAATTGACTAAAAATTGAAAAAAGAAGCATGTGAACCGTCGGATGAACGTGGAAAGAAATTTCCGCTGACAAAAAGGGAGGCAGGAGTAGGCGAGAGTTGTACGAGCATGCCTGCTACACGGGCTCAATCAACTCGCGCGTATTTGAGTCAGCCGCTACGTCGTAGCCCACTTTACGTGTCATGAGGTGCGTGCGATGGAACTCTTCCAAATTGTTAGAGAAGCAGTAGTCAAAGTGAGCTTAAAGGAATCTTGCGCGGAAAATTCTTGCACTCTTTCCTAACATGAATATGTCAGTTGTGATCACTGGAAATAGCACACAAAGTTTCACGCATGAAGATTCGGTTTCTGAAGAGAAACAAACGTACAAAAACTACACGTTATGGACCATCGAAGGACCAGGAGGCAGAGCCAGGAGGCATGGAAAGAAGACGGCGTTTGGCCGGCTACGTACCAGGCGACGCAATGAGAGAATCGGGTTAAAGCGCGCGATTTCGGAGAGTGGAGACAAATCGATCGATGGAATAGGATGGAGTAGAAGTGTAAGATGTGAATGCAACGAAGCAGAAGGCCAGAAAGAGCTTCTAGTGAATGCACTCCAAGAACCAAGTTTGAGCATCCCCGTCGCCAGCATTCGTGAAAGACGTCCGTGGGCAATTCGAACGCGTAGCAGCCTTTTCGAGTTTTCGAATTTCTAATCAAAACGAAAGCAATACTTCAGTTCTTTTCACTATTATCGTGGATAATGAGTCTCAAGCCAGTGATTTATGGCTGAAATAGAATCATGATTTTTCCGCGCAAGATTCCTTTAATAATCCGAGTGTGCCACACTTTGAGCCGCAACGACATCACACCTTGTGGATACCAGCGGGACTATTACCTCCTAATAGAATCATCGACACGGATTCTGCTGGGGGGTGTTGCTTTAAACTTCTCTTTATGAAGAACGGGGCTGGTTTTCGTTTTCAGTTTCGGACAGCGGCTAGAAGTTCCCGTTGCAGGCTTACAGATATGTGATGAGATTGTACTTCCCAAAGCGAAGGCGAAAGCACTACAGTCGCAACCGCTCACGTATTTTAAAACGTCTCCGCTCGCGAAAGCGGCAAAGACTAGGAGAGTATGACAAATTCCGCCTACTGCTCAGTCTCAGAACAGGAACCCAGGTGGGCGATGACAATTTTAATATAAAGGTTGGACATTGTCAACACCAGTTTAGACGAGTGTTATACTTCCTGAATCGAAATGAAAGCATTTTTGGAATTAAGGGTACATCAGGAGAGATGCAACCTCGTGAGAAGTACTATTGGTATTTGGCCAGGAAGCGATCAAATGGTCTTATAGCCTCGATACTCGTCACGAAGAAACGCTTCGAAGCCATCGTTGACAACAAAAAATTGAGTCCAAGTCAGCGCAATGTACAACTACACACTTTGCAGAGGCGAAATCGTTATGTAAGTACTCACAGAGAAAACAACTCACTTCCGTCTAAGGGTCAACGTCGCGTTCGCACTTCCCGAAAATTTTGCGATCCCCTCCACATTAGGGGGTCTCAATGCGATCTTCCACAAGCACGACCAGCTTTGGGAGACTGCTTGCTTACGGAAAAACGACACACTCCCACTCCTACGCACCTTCACCATACAGCATAACGAGGTAAGCAAACCAGCCCTTTTGGCGTTTCGGCTGGGACCGTATGCTGAATGTTGGGGAGGGGATGGGGTCCCCAACGGTCGACGGTTTACTTCAACTCGGTTGGTACGATAGGAGAGTACTGACGCAAGTGGTGCAGCTGGTCCAGCAGCTCCGCCAGAAGGGCTGGTTTGCTCACCCCAGGACTAAGCCTTGGAGAGGGGACGGACCCGTCCTCTCTTTCAAGGCTTAGTTCTGAGGTGAGCACCAAATTGTGGCGGTTCTAAGGACCGAGTTGAAGTGGTCCGTCCACCGTCGGGGACTCCAGCTCCTCTCCCCAACATTCAGCATACGGTCCCAGCCGAAAGCGCCAAAAGGGCTGGTTTGCTTACCGTCGCATAACAGCCTATGGTATTTGATTTCAAGTTCAAGCAACGCACCCAGTTCCACCCACTTCTTCCTGAAACGTCCTGAAACAGCTGTCGAGCAGAGGGGAGGAGGGCGAGCAGGGTGTTTGAATGGCGAGTAATGGGTCGCAGATGTACGACCCCCTCTCTCTTCAATCGTCAGTCCTGCATGACCCCCTAATAACAAGAGGCATAAACAGATTATATGTCAATAACAAACAAAAACAAAAAAAAACAAAAAAAAAAAATAAAGCTTGCAAAATTAATGTGTAAAGCCTCTCTGTCATTGCTTGCATTTCTTTCATCGCTGCACACTTTTTTGTGTATTTCACTGACATTTAGCTAGAGGGCGGAAGTGGTGCAGTGACAAGTGGCGCGCTCACCACGCGAGCGGTCCGGGATCAAATCCTGGGTCGTGAGTCGCCCGGGCCAACCAAGCCTTCCATCCCTCCGGGGTCGGTTAATTGGTACCAGACTTGTCTGGGAGGATAAAAACACTGACTTGAACATCGGCTGGCCCCCGCAAGTCATTGTATAGGCCACATCGCATTCAAACGCCACTGCGAATGTACAAATGGAAGTAGAATGCGTGCCGCATCCCAAAAAGGGATTGATCAACGGCAAATGCTTTATCCTTTTTATTCCTTATGCTCGAGGAAAGAGGCATTAACTTTGTGTGATTTCAAAGGCAGGTTCCTTTAGAAATGCACAGAAATCCTCAGGGTTGCGATTGAATCTTAATTCCTGCTTGAGTATATCAAAACAGCCGAGTGTATCGATTCAACGGCAGCTGCGGCGCGATTGTCACTGGGTCAGATTTGCTGAAATCCCAAAAAAAAACCGTCGAAATCTACACCCTCGATGAAAAGGTTGCATTCCTCCATTTCCAACCTTTTGAACAGCACGCGGTAGGGTTAGATAGAGCTAGATTTGCTACTATCAGGCAGTATTGGAATTGCTATGAAAGCCTTCCATTCGAAGAGATATAGTCTCTCAAAATCGTCGAGGGCGTCGAGGATGCTGAAATTTTCATGCGAGTTTTTGCCACTTAAGGCAATATCTCTCTAATTTCGCAAGATCTTGAAAAGGGAAGACAGTTTTGGAAAGCGGAAGGTTTGCGCTTTCTAACAGTATGTTTAGCTTCCTTCTACATTTCTAGTTGAGGAGATATTTGCGTCGAGGATCTATCGAGGATGATTCTCGCTCAAAAAGCCGCTCCCTTCTTCACCATTGCAAGTGTAATTCGTTGGCAACGCTCGAAATGTGTCTAGAATACATTCTTCCAACATAAGCAATAAGAAAAGGGGCAATCGTCATCATCCGATTTTGTCTGGGTATAGGCCATGCATCCGACCTCACTCGAAGTTGCAGAATCGATTGAAAGGTGTTATATGATCATGACCAGTTGACAGAAGCTGCATTAGTAAACACATTTCGTAACTCCTATACCTGAGGAACAGCTTCATTTGCCCAGGGCTTTCCTTCACGGTTGTCGTTTTTGCGACAGGTCCCTAACAACAGTGTCATTCTCAGCGAGGTATTAAGGGAGAAGGAGCGAGCGATAGGATGGAGGAGGTGCCTTTGCAGCGCGTGCGCACATGTGGCCGTCTTCTTTGCGGGGATGCACTTTCATTCTTTGTACTGCCTTTCAAATACTTCTCATAAAGGTGGAGGAATGGAGCGACTGAACCTGCAAAGAATATTTGTTTTTCAGATATTTTCATTTTCTGCTGCGCTATACCCTCTTACCTATCTGCACCACGATACCACTGCTGTTACTGACCCCCAAGAGTACGACCCCCCATGACCCAGCCCGACAGGTACGACCCCCCTGTCGAGGATTTCCTCGACCGATATTCACCCTGGAGGGAAGGTGTAGGATTTGTGAATTGGTATCATGAAGCGGCAAACATTAGTTTTGTCTCCTTCACCATAGCTTCATAACACTTTCGCCAAACTCGTCTAAAAACCCGCGAAATATTTACCATCTCCTCTTTGTAACCCCCGAGCATGCTTTCCTTAGAGGTACATAACCTTACCAAACCACGAAATGGACCCCCCTTTCCCAAAATCATAAATGCGACCCTCGGTAGAATAGTATGAGCGGACCTGCTTGACCCTGCTTCCGTCGGCTTTTTGATGGACGCCGAAATCTGCCCTGTTTCAGGCCTACAGATATGTGACGAGAATGTATTTCCCGAGGAGAAGGCGAACCGTCAAAAGCTGGTTGAAACGCCGCCGTGACAATAAAAAGCACCTCACGAAGGTAATTAATGATTCAGATAAATTCATTTCATTTCCAAGTCAAAACGAAACGAAGATTCACTTCAGTCTCCCCCGACGAAGAAGCCGAACCCTGTCGAGAAAGGCGCAGTGAAGCAGCGGAAGCGATTAGTTGTGAAAGATACCAAAAAGGACGCAACGAAAAATGCCAAAGTGGCCAACAAAGCAGTAAAAAGTGTCAAGAATGAGGCAAAGAGAGCAGCTAGCGAAAAGAAAAAGGACGAGAAAACTGATAAGAAAGTAGTGAAAAGCACAAAGATAGGCGATAACAAAAAGGCTGCAAAAACTACCAAGAAAAGTGCAGTAAAATCCAAGGACGCGAAACCTAGTAAAAAGGCATAACTATTGGAAAGAAGCCATAATATATCGTGTGAAAGCACAATGAATAAATGTTTCTTCTGAGTGCTGGCTAAATAAGTGTCAACGAGGTAAAGAACACGAATTATAATGCCGAGCTAACTAAACCTACCTTGAATTCTCCCCATTTTTTAACTTCGACTTTAATGGAAGTGAGTGATTAAAGTTGGAATATGGAACACCTTTCTACCTAAAAAGATTCCACATTGAAGTCGAAGTTCGAAGAAGTGGAAATTCACACCTAATGAGAAGACACTTGGACCCCCTAAGGGTGCGGGCCGATCCGAGATTCACAGCGAAAAATATACCCTCAGCGATCTAGTATGACCTTCTCCGCGACGCTATCGCTGCGCTACGCCTTCGCTTCGTTTCCCGACCATCTGGTCGTTCAGCAGAGAGAGCGCTTGCGTTGGATCGGACAGCAGCGTTGGGGGTTGCATCAATACGGAAATCAACGGGCAAGAAAGGGTTCTCATTTCTCGGCGGTCGTTCCTCATGGTTGGAGTAGAATTCCAGCATAAGATTTTCATTACAAGAGCATACAAAGATGAGCGGAGTAATAACGGTCGCTCAAATGAAAACAATCAGTGATCATAAGCTTAACTTGGACAGAGGATACATAAGCACCTGGTATCAGGGTCAACCCTATCGTTGTTACTTTTCTGAAAAATTTTTACGACCCCCCTCCCCCAAGGTGGATTTGATACGACCCCCTTTTCCGACACCTCGACCACCATCATTTAATTATTTAATTATTTAATTCTGACGCGCGCTGAAACAGCGAATTTTTCTCCTCCGCCCCTCAACTCACCCAGCCTACCTACCCATAAAAACTTCAGTTTCACCTCAAACTCACATGTGATTTCAAGCGACTGAAACGGGTACGACCCCCTCCTACAAACTCAACCAAGTACGACCCCCCCCCTCGTTACAACACTTAACAGTAGGACCCCCAGGTTTACTTAGTATAATCTAGGGGTTTGATACTGCTCGTATGGCTCAGAAAATGGACCCTAGATTAGGACCAACAAACAGCCTGAAAAATAAAGAAGTTGTTAAGAACATGCAAAATTTTTTGCGATTAAATGCTATTCATGAATAAAATATTAAGCTCTGTGATGCAGGTAGAGCAGTGCGATCAGACGTTAGGGCAGCAGACGTATGAGAACGAAATTATTAAAGCGCCAATTAAAACAAGAGATATGCGAATCCTTCCACTGCGCTTTGATTTCCACACGAGTGAAAAAAAGAATAAATAATTGGTGCTCGCTCTGTCAAGCAGCCGACGCTCCCGTCTCTCTATACTTAACAACTTGCGCGCTATGCACTACGGTCCAAGTGCATAGATAGGCGGTGTGCGTCTACGCTGCCAATCGCTGTCCGATATTGATCATCGCCCAACAAAGGCATGCGAAATCCTCGGAAGACAATTCCTTCATGATGCGACGAATGCGTGACTCGCTCGGATTTCCTGAACCTATCTTCTCACTATGTGAGTGTCCCTATTACGACCGGAATACGAACAGAATCCTCTTAAAGTGATACAGAATCCGCTGTGCTTCCAACGACTGCATTTCTCAACCTCCCTGTTATCAATAAATATAAGATGTGAAAGCCCCCCCGTAATGTTTTGTGACGAAATGTTAACCTATGGAAAGATATATAAACAATGACATAAGGAGGTGCGCGTGCTTGATAATAAATGATATTGCCACTTAACCAAATATATAACGTAGCGAGTAACGAGATACACAGGTTCAACTAGCAACTCTCTTATTTTACCCCTTTCCACAGTCAACATAAATCTTTATTATTTTTTGCTAAACAGGCAAGATGGCCGCTTTCACTCCTTGAATAAGCCCACGCCACTGAAAAGTTCATACATGTTCATACATTGGCAAGAACCCTATCCATTACAGATACACAGCTTTCCTGTTTCCGATAAAATTATCGGACCAACTTCCTTAATGTATTAAATGATTGATATGCATCTCATATCATTGACCATTTCGGACATCGAACCCGCATCGCTCCTGGTCATGATTAGGAATGACACGTAAGTGCGCGATTATTCCTTTCTGAATCTAAATTGTACATGGTCTTCTTCAAAGTACGAAGTTGCGGCCAGGACCGTTAACAGTTGCGCTTGTGCGATTTCGCACATTTATATAACAAACCACTCCTCAATTCGACATGAGCACGCTTCTCCCCACCACGCCAGTGTTTGCTGCTGTTCATATTTTCATGGCAATCATCCATCATGGGCTTCATTCAACGACATTGTAACAATCTATTCTTTCTTGCGAAGCTTCAAAATGCTGGAAAACTTCGAAATGGAAAGTCTTTCCTTTGCAAGAATTTCACTAGGCCTCTAGAATTCGATCAGCCGGATTGTCGCACTTTTTTCCACATTGGTTAGTCTGAAAGCATTGAAATTCCTTTGAAAGAATGTGTTTGCTCGTGCTTAGTGGAATATGACTTGACAGGAGAACTCCTTTCTGGAGCACCATTCATCGTCCATGTGACTACCGCAGTGGTAATTGAAGCTGTCTTCCTGGCACTTATGCCTTCCTTTGCACCTTTATATTTGATTCTGTATATAGCTACGAACACGTCGTTATTTGTGCAACCGGCGGTTTGATCTGCTACTAGTTTCCATTATAGAGGTTTTCAGTTCGTCTCCAAAGGCAAAATTTCTGACAGCCCGTCTCGTGCTTTGACAGAACACCTGCACACTATTTTCATTCTGTGTTGGTGTTCTCTTTCAGTTGAGTGCGTCCCTCTGTTACTGTTGTGGGAAGGCCCTTTTTTGGGTGCTGTTTACTCCGACATTGCACAGCAACTTCATTCGTCTGTTCGAACAGCGGAGCCTACAAGACGGTGTTGCACAACAAAAAGCGTTAAGGGGTGGAGCTTCTTCAAAACCTCCTTTGAATAATGTAGAACAGGCGTTAAAGGAAGATTTCACGCCGGAAAGATAACCCAGTTCAAATTAACTTAGCGATGATGAGTGGTACACCAAGGAAGGAAAAACCATGAAAAACGGCCTAGAACGCGAGAAATGGACCCCTTTCTTGCCCGTTGATTGGCGCACTTATGCGACTATCATTGTTGTGCTCTCTTCAACAGTACGCTCTCTCACCTATCTAATCACTCGCCACGTATAGACCTGCGGCGAGTGATCAGATGATCGATGGGCGTGCACCGGCCCATCGCGCAGAAATTGAGCCTTAATTGGTCCCGAGGTCATACTCCTCGGTCCAATTGCGACTTCAGTCCCACCTTCGGTGCGCCCGGGTCCCTCAATGAGGGAATTTACTCGACTTTCACGTCTAATCGTAATCGTCTTTTAAGTACAAACAAAGTTCATCGAGGCTCCTCTAGCCCAAAAGTATTTGTAGAAATGATCTGAGGTTCAACGCAGAAGTTTTGCATTTTAGGAGGAGGCTTCCAGCTTTGTTCCTAATACCACGAGCATGCAGAAGAAATGTCGTGTTTAATAAGAGGACCAGCATGAACTCTTAGGCCGGTGTCAGACTTTGCAATCCGTGGATTCGCTAGCGGTTTGAACTGTGCACCAGCGGTTCGATCAAAGTAAGAGCTTCGACAGTGTTTGAAAATTACGGGAGCCCTCTGAGCCCGGTAAGGCCGATGTCATAGTTTGCGAGATTCGCAAATTATGACATCGGCCTCACCGGGCTCACGTGGGCACGGAAGAGTGAAAGGGCATGAGAGCCTGGCGGGAGTCAGTGTGCGAAGGTTCGGACTCCCGCCACTTTCAAACACTGTCGTGTACAATTTGCGGCATTTTGAAGTAGCGAGTTCAACTAGTACGTAGCGATTTCAATCATGCCCAATCAATAGCTGGCGCATCGCCTTAGTTGTTCGCGCTATTCGGTAGTGAATGGTGGTCACAAAGCCCAACACTGTCTCATGCTTTATGCCTTATAATGGTCGCTGATGTGGGCTAGAGTGGCAGTAACCGACATATCAACTTTGGCGCTTCTCATAGCCTCTTATTTCCTCTTACTTGCTCTTGACTACGATACATGAAAATAGCAGAGAACCACATACCTAGTCTCTATTATTTCCTACTGCTACCTTCCTACTTGTTTTCTTCAGAAGTGCTTTCTATGGGTATGTGCCTAGCCTAACAACAGAGAACAACATGGTTCTCTCCTATTAGGCTAGGAACATACCCATAGAAAGTACATCTGAAGGAAAGTTGAGCAAAGCGCAAAGGCAATTTGTGTGCTACTGCGAGGCTTAGCTTTGAATATGGAAGCTACTGCTCCAAAATCGCCTATCGCGCACAGATTGTGAGTCCTTGGCGAAACTTTTTAAGAAAAATGGCTCGTTTTTCTATAATTTCCTTCTCACAAAAAGCGTATTTCTTATTTTCCAGACATGGACTGTCACGAGCGTGTTGTAAAACACGTGAAACTGCTTCCATTGAGACACTAACTTTTGAAGAAGTTTTGATTTCCGTACCCGCTGGATAAAGTCGTATTATTTTCTCACGATACGGCGCTTATCTCGGTCGGATAGTAATCAGGGTTCCTCCCAGAATCATATCCTGTAGCATCCTTGAGAAATTTGTTCGTTATGAAGTCACCCCGACAAATTCCAGCGTGAGCTGACACTTGACAATTCCTGCGTCTCTTTTGCTAGGATTTCCTTTTACGGAAGTCTGACAGCGGTTTTGCCTTTGCTATAAGCTAAGGCTATGAACTTCGTAAAATTTCAAAGATTGAGACTTCTTACAAACGAAAAGGCTAAGGACTTCTGAAACAAACTAAAAGCTGAGATTTCTGTGAACCGAGAACCGCGGCAAAACTTTATACAAATTACAATCCTTTCTCTAGATAATTCTAGTTTTCTTGGTTTGCCAATATCCACCGAATTTTTTGGTAAATTACACATCTCAGTCGTCATAAGTATTTGATTCTGTCGGACGTGTCTGCTTTGGAGGAGAAGGTGAA